GCGGACGCCCGCGGCTGGCGACGTTTTCGTTCGCGGGGCCCGAGCTGGGCAGGGCGGACATGGCCGGCATCACCCAGCTGTTCGATGACCTGTGCGAGGCCCTCCTGCCAGCGGCCCCGGCTCGCCCGCGCCAGCGCGGCGTGGCCCGGAGCCGGGCGAAGCAGACCCTCAAGCGGGTGGCCTACAATGCCCTTTTCACGAGCCTGTTCCAAGAGGAGACTCAGCAGCCGCAGCCCGACCTCCCGAAGCTCCCCGTGAGAAACAAGGTCCTCATGTTGTCCTTCGACCTGAGAGTGGGCGGCCTGGGCCCCGAGGCTGACCGACTGGAGGAGCTGGTGGAGGGGCTGGAGGCAGACCCGTGCTGTCCACTCGTGGAGCTGGGCTCTGCGCTGGACCTCCTCGTCCAGCTGGCAGGGAGCGGCCCGCCACGCACCCTGCGGAGAAAACGGGACTACTTCTGCCACAACAGGCACGCGGGCCGGAACGTCCCCTACGGCGGCTACGACTGCTGCGACCTGCGGCTTTTGGAGATGGACGTCCAGTCCCTGATCGCCAGCGAGGAGTACTCCTGTCACAGCATGGTCCAGGAAACGCTTCAAGTGATGGAGGCTGCTCCAGGCACTGGCCTGCCCACCGTAGGGCTCTTCTCCTTCGGTGACCCTTGTGGTGACAGGTTTGAGAGAGAAACCCGCATCTCCATCTTCGGTGCTCTTGTGCACAGTCGCACTTATGACATGGATGTGCGACTAGACTTGCCCCCTGTGCCTGATAGTGCAGACCTCTCTGGACTGGCCATTAAGGTAGTGTGTTTTCTCTCCTTAACCCCTACAAGGGTTTGGAAAATGCCTTTGTGCTGGTTGCTGCTGTCAGCTGGGGAGGCTGAGGCAGGAGGATGGCAAGTTGGAGGCCAGCCTTAGCATTTTAGCAAGACCCTCTCTCAAAATAAAAAGATAAAAAGGACTGGGGATGTGGCTTCATGGTAAAGTGCCCCTGGGTTCAATCCCCTGGGCCAAAAAAGAAAAAGACAGAAAATGTTTCTAACCTCTTTCGTCATGTGAAGGTGGGATAGCTCAAATCTAGGTTATGGGTTGGCTGAACTAGGTAATGGGAGGCAGAACTGCTGGAGAGGGCTTGCTGGTACCAACCGTCCTGGGCAACCTTCTGTTCTTCTTTTACCTAACAGGATATGTTGTTTCTTCTGCCCTTAAGACCTGCTGTTTAACTTCAAATTAATGAAAATGAAGTAGGAGAATTTCTGTTGAGTTTCACAAACTATATTTCAAGAATTCAGCTACATGTGGCAAAGATATTTGTTTATGGTATTCATGCTATTTGATATACTTTCTGTGTTATAATGTGGGGACTTTTTTTCCAATTACTGGGTAAATTGTAATTTGCTTTTGCATCTTATTGTATTATGATAAGTGTTGGTAAAGGATACACTGTTACTCTTCAGTCATTCCCTTATTGCAAAATGTTGAGGTTATTGCCAAACATAAATAATGCTGTAGCAAACATCTTGATGTATGTAACTTCATCTACTGTGGTTTTCTTTACTGGCTTCTCCAAAATGGAATCTCTGGGTCAGAAAATTATATTGAGACTATGTGCTATGTGAAAATGGAAATTGGTAGCTTTTTTTTTTTTTTTTGAACCCAGGGGCACTTAACCATTGAACCACATCCTCAGCCTGGGTGGGTTTTTTTTGAGACAGGAGTCTCACTAAGTTGCTCAGGGCCTTGCTAAATTGCTTGAGGCTGGCTTTGAATTTGTAATCCTCCTGCCTCAGCCTCCCAAACCACTGGGATTACAGAAATGCTCCATTGTGCCCAGCAACTTTGGTAGCTTTAACATATTTTGTTTAATTCTTTAGGTAATTCATGGGGTGGGGGGTGTTGTGTAATAAAAATATGCTAAAGAAAAATACAAGAGACCTTTTGCAAGGTCTGTCCATCTAGTGAGTGAATAGATGTAGGTAAAGTTCCAAGAATTCTGTCATAGTTGGAGAATGCAGACAAAAAGTAATAGGGATGGTTGACTGTATCCCGTGATCTCCAGGTCCCTCAGAGTGTGGATCAGTGGGAAGACGAAGGGTTCCAGTCAGCATCCAATTTGACTCCTGATTCTCAGTCTGAACCAAGCATGACTCCAGATGTGGACTTGTGGGAAGCTGCCCTCACGTATGAGCCCAGCAAGCGGAGGTGCTGGGAGCGAGTGGGATGGTGAGTGAGGTTTTCTTTGCCTTTAAATGCATGACCCAGGACTGGGGTTGTAGCTCAGTGTTAGAGCACTTGCCTAACATGTGTGAGGCCCTGGGTTCGATCCCCAGCACCACATAAAACAAAATAAACAAAACTGTCTATCTGCAACTAAAAATATTCTTTTTAAAAAATGCATGACCTACCCACCCCACATCAGCCTGGCCTCAGGGTGTGCTGTGGTCTAATGACCCCAGAGGGCGGGAAGTCCCTATAATACTAATGTACACATGTCTGAGAGATGCAGAGGGAAAGGGAGGTTCCTACTGTGCCAGTGACCTCTGCAGACCACGCCTTCCTTACCACCAGGGCTGCTCGTCAGGTGTCTGGGGCCACCTGGCAGGCTGTGTGGTAGGTGCCAGGAGGAGATGCTCCCTGAGCAGGGGGTACAGACCAGGAACCTCGTCCACATTTGGAGGCCTTGGGAGGGGTACTCTGTGCTGCTGGATGTTCTGACTGGTGCTGGCAGCTTGCTCCCTGGGCAGAGGGGCCACTTGTGCCCTGGGCTTCTCAGGGCCCAGAGCCTCTGCAGTGAGGTCCTCTCAAGGTTCTTGATGGTACCTTGTGAAAACCCCAGGATGGTGTAGAGGGTGTGCTTTCCCCAAATGTTGGTTGCAGACCCCTCTTCACACCTGTCTGTGGGTCAGTCTGGGAGACCAGATGGGGAGCACTGAACAGAAGAGTCTGGGCTGGAGGAGCTGTGAGCTGTCTGAAATAGAGTCTGGGCCCCTGCAGGCTCTCCTGGAGAGGAGCATGTCACTGGGGGCAGTCACTCAGTGCCCCTGTGCCAGGACACTGCCTCCAAGGGAGAACTTTCCCAGCGTGGTCATCTGCGCCAGGAGGATTCCTCCTTGCTTCCCAGCACAGCGCTGTTCTAGGGGCTTCTGGGTCCTGTCACTTCTCTCTAGGCTTCCAGTCCTGTATCCTTGTATGGGCAAAACAAGTCGATGGTCCCGCTCTCTGACAGCCCCTTACATGTTTAAAAATTGGTTCTATGGTTATTGCCTCCTTCTGCGAATGGTGGCACTTTGTCTGGAGTGTTCTGGTTGCTGTCTAGGAAGCACGATCATGTCCTGATTTGTGTGTCACTCTGTTAGGAATGCCCTTGGTCCTGTCTGTGCCTGTAGTGCTCCAGTGCTGAGGGGCACCCTGGTGGTCTTCCCAGTGAGGAGAACTGATGTTCCTCAGGTGATTAGGGTTAGTAGTAGTGTGTAAAACACGGTTTGCTTTGTTATCCCAGGTGGCCTAGAACTCCTGGGCTCCCACAATTCTCCCCCTCAGCCTCCCAAGTAGCTCGGATGACAGACACACTGTCACCTGTTTCTGAGTTGTTTTAATGTAGGGTCTTACGATGGGAGAGGCCCACCTCAGTGCTTAGGAGACACGAGATGGAATAAAGATTTCATCACACACAGGCCCCCAGGTACACAGCCTACCTGGCAGCCAAGCATGGAGGTCCAGCACTTGGGGGACGTGGGTCTAGGACTTGGGGGACGTGGGCCCATGCCTCTGTCAGGCCCAGAGTGCTATCCAGACAGATTTCCCACAGGCAGTTTTAACTGGGCGTCCAGATGAAGCCCAGAGTTCCAGGAAGTCACGTGGAGGCGAGAGGTGGTCACTGCAGCAGGTCTACACAGTCCTTGCAGGTGTGAGGGTGAGGTGTGGCAGCCCAACAGGCCTCATCTAGCTGACCCATGGGGAAGTGGTCATCAGGGGCAGCCATATGAGGCAGAGATCTAGGTGGGCCGCAGGAGAGCTGGGAGGAGGTGCAGGACTGGGAACTGTCAGGGGCTGAGCCCTGCTTCTGGTGTGAGGACGTCCAACGTGCATTCCCATGGACGCTGAGGCAGTGTAGACTTGTGCAGGCTCACTGCCCGAAGCGTTGGTGTACCTAACAGAGTGCTGACGTAGCCTGGGCAGCTTCTGAAGGGACCCCAGGGAGGCGAAGGCACTGTTGTCCCAGTGCACAGCCACTGGCACGGCCTCTGTTGGGACCGTGAATCAGTCTGTGATTCAACTTTGTGGCAAATCTGTCTTGTTTAGATTTATTTCTTTATTTTTCATGGTGCTGGGGGTGGACCAGGGCCCTCTCACTGCTAGGAGAAGAGATGGAACTTTACCACTGAGCAACCTCCCCAGCCCCTCTTGTTTGTTTTAAATTCCTATTGTGAGCTCTGAGCAGGTGGTTGAAGGAGCCGCTGCTGAGCCAGAGAGAGATCTCTTCCACCAGCACCCAAAAACACGCTGCCCTTGCCTTAAGACCACTAGAGACAGGCACAATGGCTCACACCTGTAATCCCAGCAATTCAGGAGGCTAAGGCAGGATTGCAAATTTGAGATCAGCTTTAGCCATTTAGTGAGACTCTGTCTCAAAATGAAAAATAAAAAGGATATGGCTCAGTGGTAAAGGGCCCTGGGCTCAAGCCTCATAGAGACCCCACAAAGGGCTGCTCCCCCTTCTGATTGCCCTGAAAGCCAGCACTGCTCTACAGCCTGGGGCCTGCTGCTGGGCACAGGACTGGCCCTGAGGCTGAGGTTTCTCAGGGTCTGGGACAGCCAATTTCTCTTGTGTTTATCACATACCTGGGAAGTTCCATTCTAGCACCACAGGAAACCCCCCCCACACACACACACAGCTGGACTGGAACCAGGCTCCATGCGTGCCTGGCAGTGCTTTACATTGAACACCACCCCAATCCTCGAACTGTGTACTTGATCACTTTTAAGTGTAAGGGTGTATGTATGGTACGCAGGGAAGGTGCTCAGTGTGTGGGTGTGGTGTGCAGGGAGGGAGTGCAGTGTGTCGGTGTGGTGTGCAGGGTGGAGTACAGTGTGTGGGTGTGGTGTGCAGGGAGGGAGTGCAGTGTGTGGTTGTGTGCAGGGAGAGTGCAGTGTGGGTATGGTGTGCAGGGAGGGAGTGCAGTGTGTGGTGTGCAGCGTGGAGTGCAGTGTGTGGGTGTGGTGTGCAGTGTGGGGTGTGGTGTGCAGGGTGGAGTGCGGTGTGTATGTGTGGTGTGCAGGAAGCGAGTGCAGTGTGTCAGTGTGGTGTGCAGGGTGGAGTGCAGTGTGGGTGTGGTGTGCAGGGAGGGAGTGCAGTGTGTGGTGTGCAGCGTGGAGTGCAGTGTGTGGGTATGGTGTGCAGGGTGGTGTGCAGTGTGGGGGTGTGGTGTGCAGGGTGGAGTGCAGTGTATATGCATGGTGTGCAAGGTGGAGAGTAGTGTGCATGTGTGGTGTGCAGGAAGCGAGTACAGTGTGTCAGTGTGGTGTGCAGGGTGGAGTACAGTGTGTGGGTGTGGTGTGCAGGGAGGGAGTGCAGTGTGTGGGTGTGGTGTGCAGGGAGAGTGCAGTGTGGGTGTGGTGTGCAAGGAGAGTGCAGTGTGGTTGTGGTGTGCAGGGAGGGAGTACAGTGTGTGGTGTGCAGCGTGGAGTGCAATGTGTGGGTGTGGTGTGCAAGGTGGTGTGCAGTGTGGGGGTGTGGTGTGCAAGGTGGAGTGCAGTGTATATGCGTGGTGTGCAAGGTGGAGTGCAGTGTGTATGTGTGGTGTGCAGGAAGGGAGTGCAGTGTGTGGGGTGGTGTGCAGGGTGGAGTGCAGTGTGGGTGTGGTGTGCAGGGTGGAGTGCAGTGT